TGGCAAATAAAATAGTAAGCACTCAGTAAACATTTGCTATTAAGATTTTGATGATGTTTCTATAAGATAAATTTAAATTTTATGCTATTTTTTATTCATCATCCTACTCTTAGCTATGAGATCTATTTTTTTTTTTAAGATTTTATTTATTTGAGAGAGAGAGGGAGCACAGAGGGAGAGTGGGAGGGAGAAGCAGACCCCACTGAGCAGAGCAGAGAGCCCGATTTAGGGCATGATCCCAGGACCCTGACTGAGATCATGACCGGAGCTGAAGGCAGGCTCTTAACTGACTGAGCACCCCTTGAGATCTTTTGACTATATGAACAGGAAAAGAATCCCTATGTGGAAAACTCTGGGTAACAATATACAATTTTGGACTTCATATTCCTAATACCCTAATACGTTATATCCCCAGAAGATGAATATAATTAGCTAGTACATGACGCACCATTTGTAGGGTAATTCTAAAAGTGAAATATATTTAAGATTTTGTGCTTTGATCAGAGGTGTCAAACAAGCTGAACTCAGCTTTTATATGAAAAGTGTAACGCTTGTAAATGCAGCTTTAATATAACTAACGACCACATTGATTAAAGCAGACCTTCCTCATTAATGTTGAGAGTAAACTCCCTTTCTAATCCCAATCTCACACTCATTATTTTTTTTAAAGATTTTCTTTGTCAGAGAGAGAGAGAGAGAGAGAGAGAGCATGCACGGAGCAGGGACAGAGGGAAAGGAAGAAGCAGACTCCCCGCTGAGCAGGGAGCTCAACATGGGATTCGATCCCAGGACCTCGGGATCATGACCCGAGCTGAAGGCAGACACTTAACTGAGCCACCCAGGTGCCCCCCACTCATTAAGACATATCTTTCAATTCTGTTTCCCAAAGTGCTATTTTTTCAATGATTTTCTTTCTTTTGCATTTGAATGAGTCTATGCTTTAGACAAATGTGTGTATTTTTCTTTTCTCTCTGCAAAAATGTACTTGTTTTCTTAATCTAGGAAACACAGGAGAAGTAGGACACAAGGAAAAAGTGAGGGGAAAAAAGCATGGCTGAACCAGGAACAGTTTTGACTGCCTTAGATTTGTATGTGACATATATGTGTATTTAGTCACTTTGTTCAGTGGGCTAGAAAACGGTATTATGAGGCAAAGATTACAAGGTCTCCTCTCAAAGATACTAGTATCACTGTGTTTCTTGGCCAAAAGACTACATCTTTACATATAATAATAATAATAAAGGAGCAATGCATTGCCTCATATAATTCCTGACTATAACCTTCACTCTACAGATAAGAAAATTGGGGCCTCATAAGCTGCAGGTCACAAAACCAACAAGGAATTGGTCAAATTTTATTTCCAAGCCTGAATTCTTAATTCCAAAACTGTACTCTCCCTTAAGCTTGTTCTTTGGCTTAAGCCAAAACATCTAGATATCTAAGTTTTTAACTTTTTTCTCACTCAAAATTCTTTAAGGGGTCCATGTGAGTAGCCCATTGGAATTAGCTCACAACATATCAAAAGTTAAATTCCTCCATCTGCACCGAAGTAGTACACATATACGTGTCCCTAGATCACACAAAATAGCACCAGCCAACTCTGAGGTTGAAAGTCTTTTATGGCAAGTTTTGGGTACCCAGGCGGTGAATCCAGAGGTGTCAGACATAACTCGTCTTTCTCTTGAATTCCTCAAACTCGGTTGGTTTTTCTCGAGGAGCTGATTGTGCAGCAAGGCCCCAGCACGTTTAACAGATGCCTACGTTCTTTTAGGCAATTGGAGTAGTTGTGCTCTTGGGGGAGAACAAACACTTTTCAAAGAGGATAAGCCGGAGCTGTTGTGAGAAATGCAGAGGAAGCCCATGTTCTAGCTCATTTCAGTGGGGATGTTTTCCTTTTCTTGACAAAGGCAGATCATTCTAGATGTTCAATGTTGGTGCAGGTCTGGGAGGTAAAGGTCCCTGACGAAGTTTTCCATGTTTCCTATTTCACTTCCTCAAATCTAGGCCCTAAATTCCCTGGGAATCTGGGGAAGCAGAAAGTCAGGACAAGGAGGTGGCTTCGATCTTAACACACCCTGCTTAATCAGCCCTCAGGTACATATCTTTAGGGAGGCTGGCTCTTACCTCGGTCCAGAGAAGACTGACTGGGAGTGAAGTGGGTAGGATGTTCTTTGTGCAATTTATATATAATTATATTCAAGACAAGAATGTGTGGAGCAGGGAATGGAATCCAGCAGAAGCATAACCAAAGAGGTTTGTAGGCCCTCTAAGAAATATACCACACACGTAAGAGGGCCAGTGGCAAATACTTCCTTATTTTGTGAGCCAACCCACCCCTGGATACATATGTGCTCATAAAAATAGACCATATGTGGGGAGCACGACTTCTGAATTTTCCTTGATAAAGTATTTGAATGCTGACTTCCAAGAGATAGACATAATTGCTCTCCTCTTGGATGAAAATGAAACTCAAATATGTGGTCTTGATTACCAGAGTAGAACAGAGAATTGACAGATTTAAAACATTATATTTCTGCCAAGACTATTGCACTTTCTTTTCCTTCTTTAAAAAAAAAAAAAAAAAAAGTTTTTTTCCGTATCCTTTTCCAGCTGATGGATAGATAAAAACGGCACAGAGACTTCCAAGACCAGTTGGCATTAGAGGTTTGGTAGAAGAGTTGAATGTTTTAAAGATTGGTTTGGACTCTTTTTTATGAAGTGGGAAGAGGAAAAATTAAATTAAATGTCTGCATATATCAGAGTTGTATATTAAAGACACACATACCAACCTGTGGACTAGCGGAAATCATTGGGTGCTTTTATTTTCTTCCCATCTCTCTGGAACACACAAGTGGGTGGCCAATCCCAACGGCCCAGGAGCCTAGAATCACATTTTCATCATGTCCCTCTTTGGTGGGCTGGAGGCCATGGGGCACAGTGCGGACTAGATTCAGAAAGGACAATTACATGATAGAACAGAAAGTTCCTTTTTAGACCACATTTCACTCTAATGTTGTTAATATTAACTTTTCTTCATGTTTTCATCTTGATTTTATGAGTACATTTTTGTAGTTTTGAAAGGACAAGTTTCCAAAATGCCAAGTCATTTAAAAAAATGTTTTCTTCTATATTTTTAACTCTTAAAATATGCTGCTGACATTTTAACAGTATCAAGATTTTTACATGAAATACACATTTTTCTTACATGTGCTTATATTATAATCAGGGTTCTTGGTGGCAAACAATAGAAACTCCAGATTAATTTTGGTAGCAAAGGAATTTATAGGAAGGCTATTGGGTATCTTATAGAACTGATGGAAAATGCAAGAGAATGATGCTTGGGAAATGGTCAGGAATGAAAGGAGGCTGGTATGGAGGACTCATCCAAGGTCACACCACCGGAATATTGTAGATAGGATACTACTTTTGCACGGGAGACCCCATCCCCAGGGGTTCCACTTGACACTAACAGCCCCCAGAATTGCAACTTTACCACTGCCACCATGAAACTATGACTCGTTTGGTCTCTATTATCTTGGCATTACTTCCTACACAGTCAACATTTTAGGTAGGAATTTCTAAATCAGCCGAGGTGCTGTTATACCCTTAGCTGTTTGTGGTTGGAGAGGGAAAAATGTATGGTGCCCTTCAACCTTTGTAGGCTTATATAAAGGAGTTCTCCCTAAATAAAGAGATCTAGATAATGTAGCACCAAAAACATATCAACTGTCGCCTCTAATTGTTCCCATAAACATATCCATCCATATCCTCTACATCACCCACTAATGAATATTTTTATTCAGTATCCACAAGTGAACAAACCTATTCACTAGAAAATATCTACTCATGGTATCCATTCTATTTATCAACTTTCTCACTAACTGAATCCCTGTGTAATCCATTTTTACTTTTTTTTGCATTTTTCCTTCTATTTCTTTGCCTAGTGGTATTTTACCCCCATTCACCTTAATGACAATATACTATCTCCATGTATACTCTGCCATCTCTTTTTAATGCTAAATTTTTAAGACCAGATCATGATTATTTCATAGAAAGTATGATTAAAAATAAAAAATACTGGCATCCCCAGGGTGCCTGGGTGGCTCAGTCAGTTAAATGTCCAACTCGTGATCTCAGGGTCATGAGTTCAAGCCCTGCATTGGGCTCCATGCTACCTAAAAAAAAAAAAAAAAAAATACTGGGGCGCCTGGGTGGCTCAGTTGGTTAAGCAACTGCCTTCGGCTCAGGTCATGATCCTGGAGTCCCTGGATCGAGTCCCGCATCGGGCTCCCTGCTCGGCAGGGAGCCTGCTTCTGCCTCTGACCCTCCCCCCTCTCATGTGCTCTCTCTCTCTCATTCTCTCTGTCTCAAATAAATAAATAAAATCTTTAAAAAAAAAAAAAATGCTGGCATCCCAACCAAAATTGTATATCCTGCTCCTCAATAAACATCTCCACTTGAATAGTCTACTTGAGGATATTCTGCAAAAGCAAACTTGATATGCTGCCCCCTCCCCAAATGGACTGTCATCCCCCTAGCTCCCTCTATCAGGTCTCTATTACTGGTACCACCACATTAGGTGTTTAAGAATATGAGAGCTATTTGGGAAAACTGGTTGAGTTTCTGGATAGACTGAGAATGCATTATCATTTTCCCACTTAAAAATTCACTATGAAACACAGTGTAGAAACTATTAGATTCCAGTAATGAAAGATGCCTGTATTGGGGCACCTGGGTGGCTCAATCCGTTAAATGTCTGCCTTCGGCTCAGGTCATGATCTCAGGGTCCTGGGATCGAGCCCTACATCAGGCTCCCTGCTCGTTGTGAAGCCTGCTGCTCCCTCTGCTTTGTTCTCTGTCAAATAATAATAATAATAATAATAATAATAATAATAATAATAATAATAATAATAAGGATGCCTGTATTTTCCCTCCTCCATCAGAAACATTTCACAAGAAGGAAAGGTTATATGTAAACAAAACAAAAAGTATCACATAAATAAGAAGCCAAAAGTTTAATGTTTCTGAATAAAGAAAGTTCATTCAGGGCTTACACAGATCGTAAGAATAGATTACAACAGCTGAGAGATCAATAGCTTATTGGAAGGAAAGAAGAAAGCAGTTTATATTTTCAATGTAGAAAAAGAAAATCTAATTGCTACAGATGTCTTGTAAAATTCCCAAAACAAAGTCTAGCCAAGGTTATTGTTTAGTGGATTTTTTTTTCCTTTTTTCAAGGGATGAAAAATGAGATTCAATGTGTATACTATTGGTTACAACTAATATAACAGCTTGAAAAAATCATAAGACAGAAGCATAAATATAATATAAAAAGACAAGATTTTAAAATTGTACTGTAGGAATATTAACTATAATAAGTGGAAAAGTACATTAAAACCAGCAGTTTTTACTGTTAACACTAGTTCAAAACAAAACTCATAAGGCAGACCAAAACTGATGCTAGTTAAGGAAAGTGGTCTGTTTTTAGGAAGTGTATCCAGACAGAAACCACCACAAAGAAATGCCAACAGTAATTACATGGTCCCCTCTTGTTACTCAGTGAAGTGTCAAAGGTAGAGTGACGGGGTCAACAGCTTAAGCTTTCTCCAAGGATTTGTAGTATTCCATCAGCACAGTCCAGGCTTTGGGAGCCATGAAACCTTCTGGAGGTTTCTGGCCTTCTCGTGCAAGTTTGCGCATTCGTGTTCCTGAAATAAATTCATAGTCTTCATGGCTGAAAGAGAAAAAAAAAGAAAATGATTTCCCATTTTTAGAATCTTAGTGAAACTTTAAAAAGCTTTTGTTCTTCTGTTCATGGTAGATAAGCTTAATGGAAAAAAAAATCTGAATAAAACATAGTACTTGTAAAATGAATGATTGATCTGATTTCAGATTTGCCACTGAACAAAAAACAACATGTTCTCAAAAATTACCCATTTTTTGAACTAGGAGACAAATTTTAATTGAAATTTTTACTGAGATCATTGTATATTCACATGCAATATTCACAGTGAGAGCTCATGTATCCTTTACCCAGTTTCCCCAACGGTAGCATACCTTGCAAAACTATAGCATAATATCACAATCAGGTTATCAGTATGGACACAACCTACCAATCTGATTCAGACTTCTCTAGTTCTATCTGTGCTCTGTGTATTTAGTTCTATACAATTTTATCACATATGTTGGTTCATGTATCCACCATAGTCAAGATGTATTAACAATTCCAAAACCATGACCATCCCTTGGCTTGCCCTTTTATAGCCATACCCACCTCTCCCCGCTTACGTCCTCCTCCCCAGCCCATGCCAACTACTAACTTAGAACTAGAAATTCACAAAAACAAAAAGGTATTAAATCCAATTTAGCTATCACAGATTGAAAACTTTTTAGGAAATTTGAATCTGAAAGGTTAAATGCATAATGGGACATTAAGAGAAAAATTATAATTGTTTTACAGCAAAAGCAAGTTAAGTAGCAATAATGGATACTATCCCACTGGTAAGATACCATAAAAGTTGTGTTAGTTTTTCTCATCTTCTTATATTCAAAAACACACAAAGGGGGCACCTGGGTGGTTCAGATCATTAAGTCATGATCTGCCTTTGGCTCAGGTCATGATCCCAGAGTTCTGGGACCAAGCCCCACATCCCAGCTTCTCCCTCTCCCACTCCCCCTGCTTGTGTTCCTGCTCTCGCTGTGTCAAATAAATTAAAAAAAAAAAAAAAATACACAAAGGCCCTTAAACCAGTAAGCACTGAGCACCTATGGCCATGGCACATACTGTCTACCAGTAATTTCATCCTCTTCCTTCAAACAAGGAGAACCAACCTACATAGCAGACCAGGACCCATCAAGAGCTCTGGATCACTTAGGTTACCAGATCACAGGCTGTGTTTACTCCTAGTTAGGAGCTCTATGTTCCTTCCCCACTTCATTATTTGTGGAGTTAACCTGGAGATCGTAAATCATAAACTGCCACATGCTTCTAGACAGGTGCCAAGTATGTTTTTTTAACTAATAATCACACTGCCAGGAATCTACACTAAGGAAATAACCAGATGCACATCAATGTTATGCATAAAGGGAGCTATCTGTAAGTTGTTTCGGGATAGTAAAATATTGTAAATGACCTGAAGGTTGAAGGTTCTAAATAAATTATGGTACAGCGCTGAGTAAAATAATCGGGACACAAAACTTTATGTGCAATACAAATGCAATTTTGTTAAAATAGAGTGTGTGGAGAGAAGGCTACAAAGAAATACACCCAAATAGTGGTTATTTCTGTATAGTATTATCACAAGTGCTTGTAATTTTGCTCATGTTTTCTGTAGTTTTCTACAATGATTTTTATCAATTATCAATATCAAAATTAAATAAAAAATATAAAATATCAGAAATTTTATAATGAGTTTTATTTTTAAAAGTTTATTTTCAAAAAATCTCTCCCCAAAGTGACTTCAAATAATTTTTAAAAATTCAACCTTAATCAACCTGAAACCTCCATCATTTGGAATACTGCCCCTGAGGAAAGCAGCTACATGAGCTGCTGCTATAGCATTATGCTTCCTATTCTGGTCTCACAGTAGTTATAATGGCTATTAATCCATACTTACACAGCAGGCATTGATTAACAATAAAGAGTATATCTGAATGGTGCGAAGGACAAAGAAATATTTACTAACCAGTGCTCGGATACTTTATTAGCTTTCATTTCAGGAACTCAATAAATATTTGGTAAAATATAAAAGAATGAAAAGGTGTATGTATAGAAAAATTCTATGTGGTTCAATACAGAACCACATACAGTCTTAAATGAGTCACTACTCTTCATCTTCTGGCAAAAAAAAGGGGGGACCACAGGATTTTTTATTGCTGTGGTGAATCTGAGCTACTTGTATATTCCCTTTTATCTAAATCTAGATTACTCACGGCAGCGACTTCCACGTGACCTTCATAATGAGCTCTTCCATAATCATCTCCAGATCTGTCTTCTCTCCGACCTTGCTCACCTCCACTTTAAGCAGGGGAACCCACATACCACCTTCCTAACCTGGTTCATTTACTCTACCCAGGAGCTCTCAGACTGTGGTCTCCAAACCAAGAAAGACCAAGTACTGTGATTTCCTCATGATCCAAACTGTGTACCGGTCTCCGGTCGCTCTTTCTGCTTTTCTGATTTTGTCTGTGTGCTCAATGACCCCACTGCTCGTGGGGCTTCTAAACCTTGCAACTGGTGGTATTACCACCAGGCTCTGTGTACCTCTTTCATCCGGCCTGGCCCTATGCCTGCCCACAACTGTTAGTTCCTAAGATCCACATGACTCCTGGTCCTGAATCAAGTTCTACCTCTTCGATTCGCTGTTGGCCCCACTCCCCAGTGAGATACCTGACTTTGGTGAATGCCCCAACCCTCTTTGAAACATATCTGAAAATTTTATTCTGGAATACTATACATGGAGGATAGGAATACAAAATAGTGTGACTCATTTCATCAGTCACAGGAAAATCATCTCTTACCATTAAGCAGAAAAGCCGTACTTAAATTTAGGCATGCAACATCTTCCCCTAGTCACCCTGCCTGCTCTTCCTATTCGAATCCTCAACTACCAAAAGGATAGGAAGATATACATATGCATTCAGCTCAACATTTCAACAGCTCTCATCTGCTTAAGTAAAACTAAAACCTCTTTCAAATGTTATATAAATTTTCAGTGATGTTCAATAAAAATGAAAGGTTAACAGATATTGCTTAAAAGATGGATCCAAACAGTTTCAATCTACGGACTATCTCTCACTTCTCTCATCTGTTCAATGTGCAAGACAAGTCAGATCTTTTATAACATGCGGGCCCAGGCACATGGCTGGTTCCCCCAGCTGACATGGGAAGTAAGCCAACATCTTTCTCTTATACAAATGACAACCTAAGGGGAGAAAAAGAAATTGACTGTATGTGAGATGGGCCTAGAAAAGAAGCAAGACTGCGAGAGGAGATTTCAAAACATTCAGTAAGGCTGGGGTTAGAAACAATCTGTAAATTTATCAACACTAAAATGAAAACTGAGTTGGAGAAAACGTTAGGTAAGCTCTCCAAAGAAAGACTCAGCAAAAGGAAAAGCATTTGTCAAAGGAGTAGGAGGAAAACCAAGATGATACGGAGGTCACAGAAGAAGAGAAGTTCTAAAGTGTTAAGGCCACAGAGAGGATGAGAAAAATGACCATGAGGAAAAAAACCCTACTGGACTTACAAATCAGAATTTAAATCTTAAATGAAGAGTTTTAGTAGATGGTGAAGAAGAGAGACAGAGTAGTAAATTGGCAGAGATACAGAGTGGAAAAAAGAGGAGACCTGTTTTTTGTTTTTTTTTTTAAAGGAAAAGGGGGGCTTTAAGCAAGTATACAGGTGGGAAAAAGACTGAGAAAAGGGAGGATGAAAGCCAGGAGAGATATGAAAGATGCAGAAGGAAGTCTGGCATGAAGGACATAGGAAGGGGGGCTTTGACAAGGAGGAGCATCAGGAATGAAGGAAAGAAGAAACAGTGATGATGTGGGGTTAGAAAAAGATGAGGCAGTTAATGCAGGATGGTCTTAACCTTCTCAATAAAGCTGTGAAGACTGCCTTCAAGGGTAACAAGAAGCTGTGTGGGAATGGAATAATAATAGAATCCATCAACACTCCTGACTTTGACTCCAGGCCAGCCAGGTTACCCCTGAGGGCAGGGCTTAGCGAAGCCCAGATCAGAGAGGAAGCCAAGAGGGCAGAGCGGTGCAGAGAGCTATCCAACTGTATCTAAACATCCTCACTCCAACCAGATGTCAAATCAGTTCGTTTAGCTCCGGAGGTTCACTTATCAGCACCCTAAATGAGCTTCGCTGAGGAAAATTATGACCCTAGAGCTTTATGGCCACGTAAATTTTAAAGTTTGATTTCAACAAAGGAAACCTTGTGTCCCCTGCCTCAAGTGCTCGTTCTGGAAGGCAATGATAAAGAAGTGAGGACTCAGCTTGCGGGATGACTCTGTCCTGACTATTTGACGAAAGGAAAAAAGCCAGACCAATTACAGCCCTTTCTTCCCCACCCCCCGCACCCCCCCAATGCCAAACTGTCTGGAATCCAGAAGTTTGTTTGCATTCCTTCTGAAATTGCATTTTAAAACCAAGGTCCCTGGGTACCTCTTTCCCGGACACTCTTTCACACTCCATCTGCCCTGCATGCCACAAACATTTCTTCATCACATGAAATGGGAGTTTCTGCTCCCACAGGGTGGTGGTTCCACTCCACCCTGGCTACAGAAAACACATTTATTTTCCTCCGCCTCACACTTGTACTGTCACAGAAGGATTTTGCTTTTTACCAGAAGCCAGGTGCAAGGACTTGGCACAAGAGTCACATTACCCATAATCAAATGGTATTTTTCACAGTTCATCTTTAATTAGACATCACCTTACATAAATAATTAAGTCAAGTAAAAACTCAGATATCTGGGGAATAATCTAAAATTAGCTCTCCACTTTACCTGTGAGTAATCAGGAATCTGCCAGAAGCAGAAAAGGCTACTAAATAAATGACCCCGGCCGGGGCTTTCACTACAAAGCAATTCTAATTACACTAGTTAACCAATCTCCCATGGCACCTGAAAAAGGAAAACACAAGTATGTTGGATTTTTTTCCCTCTCAAAACCACTTGGTCATAGATTCTTACAATCCACAGCTCTTCAAGAAACAAACGGGTT